TATTTTTTATACTACATTTATCCATTTTAAATACACTAACCTCACTCATTTGTAACAACTAAGGCAAAAATGTAATTAATTCAGAAAATCTTTTCAGGACCTCACCTTGATGTTTCGGGACCCCACTTTGGGTCCCAACCCCAACTTTGGGAAACACTGGCCTACAGTATTTTTACAGTCTTTATTTTACAGTTAAAATATATGTCAATTAAATAAAGTCTAATGTTACAACTAATCATGGATCCCTAACACTTCCTTCTTGTAAATAGATGTTTTTAATGTTATAGATAAACAATAACGACTCTGTTTACATTACTGTGTCAGCCCATACACAGCCACTCACTGGTCAAACAGTAAAAGTAAACTAGAACATTTTTGAAAACCTAGTAGAATTGTAGGCATGCCATCCACCTCAGGAATGTCTAATTAATTCTTTTATAATGTTCATGAGTTATATGGGATGTCCATCTTCTGCTGCTTATCCTTCAACAGGTCCAGGAGAGAAACCCAGACATCCCTCTCTAGTGATAATTCCCAGCTTGTTCTGAAGGACCCTGATGCATTCCCAGGCCAGAGAAGATACATAATCGCAGGTTCTTCCCTGTGGCCTTCTACCAGTAGGATGTACCTGGAACACCTCATCTTAACCAGATGCCCGAACCACCTCAGCTGACTCTTTTCAATGCAGAGGAGCTTCAAACTCCTGTACTATTTAGCTTAGCTTCACTACAGCTGTAGTAGTTTGTGACTCTGTTATACACAATTTTCATACAAAAAAAAGAGCATCAGCTGTTGTCGAGGGATTAGGAGTTTAATTAAGTGACAAATGCAAGAAGCAGTGAGGATGAATGGCAACTAAAAAGAGAAAATTAGAGCTATATATCACAGTAATAACTGCAGAAATGAATTAAGGAAGTGCAGATTGTATAGATTAAACACTGACAGCTCAGAATGTGCCACATCACAGCTTTAGGAAAGTAAGTAGAAATGTAGAGAGACAAAGATATCTCTCAGACAGATTTTAGCCTCTTTTTTTCAAAGACTGAAAACTTATAGAATATGATTTTTTAAAAAGAAAATCTTACCTCAACAAAATATTTCACCGCAACAGCTGACCTTTAGTTTTCATGTATGTTGTGAGCTCTGTACACCTTCATTTTTCTTGTTTCAGTTCCCTCCTTGCAGTTAGTGAGTGACACTTCCGCATCAGGAAAACTCAAACAAGGCTGGGAAATATTCCACAATTATTGTTTAGAATGTTTAACCAGATAAAAACAGAAAGGAAACACAAAACAAGCAGACAATCAAACCAAAACAAAATCCTACAGACAAATATTACGTTCAGCACCATGGACAGCAGCTGAGTCTTTCAACTGAGGATAGAAGGTGAGCTCACACACAGATAATAAAAAAGGCCTCCACATTTTGTTTATTTATCAGGCTTGGACAGTGCTCCACAGGTCATTGAGTCCAGGGGGATGTTACCCATCATGAAACCGTGGTGACCTTATGACATGTGACAATGAAGTAATGCACTTTTTACACAACACGATAGAACTTTAAACTTGTTTTGTGTTTCACATTGGTAAGGCACATGTTGAAAAGACCTAATAAAAGAACTGTTAGATCCTTACTAAGGTCAGTTTGAAATATAGACCAATGGTCAAACAGAACTGCATCCAAGTATCTTTGCACTTATGTTTCCAGAAGTAATGTTTAAGGCTTCAACAAAACAGTAAAGGTGGGTATATAAAACAACAACAAAAACAAAAAAGCAACTAAGAGCCCAAAGGTAACCCTGATGGAGCCAAGCAACTTTTCTTCAGAACTAGGAAGATCTGTCCATTGGACCACTACAAGCTGCACTGAACTGGAAGTGTTGACAAAATTTTAAAAAATTGATAAAAGACTAAATAAAACTGATTGTTTTGAATTCCTTGAAACATGTGGAAGAAGTTGCTTTGTTAAGACTAAACTCGAATGTTTGGCCACCAAACACAACACCATAACCACACCGACCTCACAGTGTAGTATGCTGGTGGCAACTTTATGCTGTGGAGATGATTTTCATCAGCTGAGCAGGGAAACTCAGAGGATAAGAAACAAGTTAAAAACGTAATTTCTTTAGGAAAATCTGTTGGAGTTTTTCCAGAAATCTGAAGAAATCTGGGGAAGATGGTTCTAGTGACAATGGGCCTCATGCAAGAACATGTTCGTATTCTTCTCCTAAATTTATCTTACTTTTGTTCGTACAAAGGG